ACTATTGCCCCTCGTCGCAAAGGGGGAACCTGTCTCAAAGGGAGTAAATGGCAGAGAGGGACCGGAACTCTGGCACAGCTGACCCCACTTGTGCGTCTGTGCGACCAGCTATTCTGCTATCAGTGGTTCTCAACCTTCCTAATGCCGTGACCCTTTAATACAGTTCCTCGTGATTGAATCTAATTAAAGCATAGTGATTAATCACAAAAACAGTATGTAATTATATATGTGTTTTCCAATGGTCTTAGGCGACTCCTGGGAAAGGATTGTTCGACCCCCAAAGGGGTCTCGACCCACAGGTTGAGAACCGCTGTCTAGATTGTCTCAGAAGATCTACCTTACTGATAGATTTTCTGACAGTGTAGCAGCATGTGGGACACTAGGAACTCAGATCAGATGCGGGCATTGCCAGGGCGGAAGGCAGTGTGAAAGCCTCGTGTTTAAAGGTTTCCTCCTGTTACCCTCTGATAGTTTTTGCTTCTAGCTTGGCCCTGATCTCTCACCTGTAATCTATTGCTAAAAAGAAAGCAAGCTCTTCCTTAATGTTGTGGCTTTCAGCCTGGAAACAAAGAAACCAAAGGATGAAAGAGGGAGAAAGGAGCAGACAATTTCCCAGTATCTGGGTGGCTTCAGTGTCACCTTCATGCATCCAAAGAGAAGTTTTACAGAAGACACTGGTGCCATGTCGTTGACAATCCCCAGGAAAGCACCACCGGAGCCTCTGCATTGCTCACACTGAGGTCCTGGCCAAGCAAACAGACAAAAGCAGCAGCAACAGCAAAAAGAAAAGCACCCAAGGTGAGGACCAGAGACAAGACAAGAAGGGAGAAGGAGAGGAAGGGAAGTAGGACAGAAAGGAGGGAAGTTCAGTTAATGGGATGACTGGTGAAGTTGTCTGTTTCAGTGCTCCGTAGAAAGAAACTGAGGTGTGCTGTTTTTTTCTTCCAAATTATGTAACCACAGGATAAAACCCAGTGGTTCTAAGATCTCTTTCTGATTCCTAGATCTCTTTCCAATGAAGGGCAGAGCAGAGTTGTTTGAAACCGAAACCAGGACATGAATGAAAGTAGCCCACAGAATAAATACCTTTTTGCCTTTCTTGGGCTTGCCTGTTTAATTTTCTTCCAGGCTGCATTTCAGAACAGAGAGAGGCCAGTCATTCCACAGCTGATTCACGGCAGGCAGGAAGTGCTCCTACACTGCCTCCTTCAGGCCAAACTGCCCAGAGCTGATAGCTACTGACAAGCCAGCTTGCAACAGTTTGCCTGAGAGTTTGTGCCACAGGAAAGTCTTGTAGTCCAAATACAGTAAAAAGCACAAGTCACATCTCTGCCCCATGCCCACGAATGTCTTAGAAACTCTCAATGTTTACATATTACCCTCCCATACCAGACATAGGTGCTGTCTGAGCATTCACTGAGGTTCAACTACACACAAGAAATTGCTTTAGATGATTTACTTACGTCATTCATTTAGTTAGCAAACGACGGTGTAAACCAGGTAGTTAAATTATTACTATTCAAATAAAGAGACTGACGCGTGGGTTAAGAAACAGGCCCACGTTCACATAGATATTTAAGTGGCACAATCAGGATTGAAATCCACACTGTGGAATCTCAAAATCCGTAACGTTCCCCCCTAGGCCACACTGCATGGCTTTGCAGTTTCTTTGTATGCATCTCTATCCGCGAACTAGCCACAGGTTTCTTAGAAACAGTTTGCTTCTGCCTAAGCTTCCCCTAATGGACCATCCAAGAAGACGCCTGTCGTCGTCTCTCTGAGTTCAGCAGCGTTGGGAGTCCCCGGGCCCCTGCAGGACTGCAATTATGTCAGCGCTTCTGTAAGCAATTTGTCACTTGAACACTGCCCTGGCGAGACTTATAAACAGTCCTAGAACTCCAAATTTTGCCTCTGTTCCTCCATCCAGTGATTTTAAACTGGTGTGCTGCAATAATTTTTAAAACATGCAATATCTGACTATTTAGTCTAGGGCACTGACCTCGTTTCCCTTAGACTGTCAAATAAAAAATGACAACAGCCAGCACAACCATAGCTGTCTGGTGTGAATGAATCAAAATTATACTTTTTTTTGTCAGATGGGCAGAAAATATATCTTTTTGGTGTGGTGCAGAAATTTAGTAATTAGTTTATGTGTGCTTTGAGATGAAAAGGGTTGAAAATTGCTGCTCTAATGTACTGGATGAGAGATTTCTTTTTTTCTTTTTTTGTGCAATTAAAAAAATTCTGTAGCTTTTGATATTTTTTAAAATGCTAGATCAGGGGTGGGCAAACTTTTTGACTCGAGCCACAATGGGTTCTTAAACTGGACCGGAGGGCCGGAACAAAAGCATGGATGGAGTGTTTGTGTGAACTAATATAAATTCAAAGTAAACATCATTACATAAAAGGGTACGGTCTTTTTTTTTTCAGTTTTATTCATTTCAAATGGGCCGTATCCGGCCCGAGGGCCGTAGTTTGCCCACAGCTGTAGATTATAATCCTTTTTTTTCTTTGCTTGAGGACATCAGTCCATATGATTGGAGTGTTTTACATGAGAAGAAAAGGGTTAATTAATGTCATGTTTAGATATCTTTTTCACAACTAATCTTCAGAATTATATAAATATATATATTTTTTTCCATGGCAGAGAGTGGAGGGTATTGGGAAAGGCTATTATCGATATTAAGCTTCATGGAGATGCTCTGAAAATTATAAAATACTGTATAAACGTTATGCAGTTTTATTGTAATTATTATTCTATGGGAAGAACAACTGGGAGACGTTCAAGAAAATCAGTTCTCAAATGTCTCCCATCTCTAACTTTCTTGAACGTCTCCCATCTCAAACAATTTGGTTCTTGACCAAGTTGTTCATGGCAAAATGTCTCGGTTGTCAAACAAAACTTTGGTCCTCATACCAACAAAACTTTCATGCTGATACCTGTATGACAAAAGAGAGAATGTGCGAGTATTAGTCAGTTTACTGCTAAACTTGGGGTTGTTAACAACTCAGGAAATTGTGCTGTGAATATTTTTGTGTGTTTTTTTTGTGTTGGTCTGGAATGAATTAATTCAATTTACATTATTTCCAATGGGAAAAAAATGATTCCATTTTCGAACAGCCTTCTGGAATGAAGTAAGTTTGAGAACCAAGGTTCCACTGTAATTGGATTCTTTTTAAAAAGTTTTGAACATGCCAGTTTCAAACTTCATGAAGTTTTCACAAACAATCAGACGAGTAACAAAAACCTAAGGCTCAGCTGCTTTTCCCCACATTGCTCGCCCACTGCAAATGGGTTGCCACTTTCCTCATCTCTATAATCAGCTTTGACTGCTGTGTTTTTTATTAGAAGCCACTGGGTTCAGGAGGGCAGGGCAAAGCAGCAATGTAACACTACGTGGTTAAAAAATTGAACACAAGTGTGTCTAGATCCTGAGAAAGGGAAAAAAAACAGATAGGTCAGTGGTTCTCAACCTTCCTAATGCCACGACCCTTTAATACAGTTCCTCATGTTGTGCTGACCCCCAACCATAAAATTATTTTCGTTGCTACTTCATAACTGTAATTTTGTTGTTGTTTTTTTTTTTTTTCATAACTGTAATTTTGCTACTGTTATGAATCATAATGTAAATATCTGATATGCAGGATGTATTTTCATTGTTACAAATTGAACATAATTAAAGCATAGTGATTAATCACAAAAACAATATGTCATTATATATGTGTTTTCTGATGGTCTTAGGTGACCCCTGTGAAAGGGTCGTTCAACCCCCAAAGGGTCGCGACCCATAGGTTGAGAACCGCTGAGATAGGTGATCTCATATCAAAGGTGCTTTCTCACGTGTAACTTAGAAAAGAGAGACTTCTTTTTTTAAGGCCATTAAATGACTATTTACAGAAACTAACAAAAGCATCACGAGCATATAATTTCCTCTGTTGCTATGGTCCAAGATTGCGTGAATGGTTAGAATGAAGGGAAATGAAAACCCCAGGAGGAATGAGATGGTGATACTCAGGAGAGAATGACCCTACAATTTCTTTACTGTTATCAAAACACTCTTGTTCCTATCACAATAGCTTGCATTTTTGTGTTTTCCCTTTTCTTTCTTTGGAAAACATTATTTCCAGGAGCATCTCCTAATTCTTTTTTCATTCTAAATGTCGAAGAAAGCCATGAAACATGTAGAGTTCTTCAGGGCAACTGCTGAAAAGTCGGTTAGGAAAAGATCTTCTCAGTAAATAAACGACTCGGGAAGATGAAAGGAAACAGAAGAGCTTTATTGAAGTCCTCTGAATAAAAGTTCGGAGATGAGAAAAAAGAACTTTAAACCCATGAATAAACAATTTGAAATAGGTAGTCATGTATTAGACCCGACATGTAAGTACAAGCAAGCAGACTGAGAAACACGTTTCCCCATGGAAGGAACATCATCTCTCCCTGTCCGCAGCATCAGCTTTATTGCCCAAGTCAGTGCATCACAAATGTGTCTGCCAGAATAGCCCTGAAAGTGGAGGCCAGCATGGACCTGCGCGCAGTGTTCTGCCATGTGGCCTAACAACTTGATGTCAGCAAACAGTCTTCTGAAGGATCGTGTTGTATATGAACAGTTCATACAAATTCAGCGTTCCATTTCACAATATAGGTCTTGACTTAGTACAAGATATTTCTCCCAAAATTTTGAGTAAAACATGCTTCGAAAAGATTATTGTATCCACCTATGATTTTTCCTACAGGGCACCTGGACTATGAGAATCCCAGTTTAGAAACACATTCTAAGTGGATTATTTAATACTAGAGGCCCAGTGCATGAAATTCATGCATTTTGGGGATTCCCTCACCCTGGCCTGTGCCCTCTTGCAGTCTGGGAGACCTCAGGGGATGTCTGACTGACAGCTTAGGCCCGCTCCCCAGAGCGGGATCTCCAGTCCTTGCTCAGGGCTTCTGGCTGAGCGGCAGTCCCCCTGTAGGAGCACACTGACCACCAGGGGGCAGCTCCTGAATTGATTGAGCGTGTGCTCCCTAGTGGTCAGTGTGCATCATAGTGACCGGTCTTTCTGCTGTTTGGTTGATTTGCATATTAGCCTTTTATTATATAGGACCATCTCTACTCAAAACTCAAGCATCTAAAGTTAAATAAGATGGAGAACCACACAAATGAAAGAAACCTGCTCACAAGTGGCAAACTGATTTGTGTGTGCTTTATGACTTCTGCTCTAACATCTAAAAAGCATTACTAAGCAATCAGCAAGAGGAAAAAAAAAAAAAGAAGCAAGCTGGCCTCATAAACCATGAGGTCCAGACGTCCATCATCTATATTTCTCTTTCAGCAAACCACTAACTAACAAGCCTGTCTAACATACTTCTCTTTCCAACATTTTCAAACTTCTATCATTTAAAAAATAAAGTCTTTTTCTTTGCTTTCTATAGCCAGCCATTGCTAGCAAAGCACTCCTGACCTTCTAGCAAAAATACTCTGAAATGTCAGTCTGTTACATAAAAAGACCAATGTAATAAACTTAAGTCTTTCCCTTCACATTAAACAGGAAATCATGCTGAAATAAAACAATACCTAGATGGGTGGAGAAACTTAAAGTGATTACATTTCCACTCACAGCAGCAGGAGACACTCCCCCTCCCCACATCACACAATCCCTTCACTTCATCTTCATGCTTAAAAGAAAACCACACTTAGTGTCAGAAACACGGCTTTGGAAGGCAAGCACTATGAATGAGTCAGCACCTGTACTCTTGCCCCTGACCTTTGACCCTGCAGTTCCCTACTTGTATGTCCAGATCCTCTGCTGAATGGTGAGATCCTGGAGGGCAGGAGTCCTTGCTTCGGGCTCATCTTTGCATCTCCAGTCTCTGGCTCAGTGAGAGTGTGTTGAAATGTCCATTTCTGACTATTAAGTGGACTGGCCTTCGTTTTTCATTTCTAAGTTGAATAAAAGATCTCCCCGTTTGGACTACATTCACATGCTTTCTTCGCTAAGAACAAGGTGAGGAGTTCGGTGTGGGTACAGGAGTGTGCAAAACCAGCAACAGTAATAATCTGCCAAGTGGGAATGGGGGAAAGGCACCAAGATTCAGAGGCGGATCACAAAGCCTGCTATTTTGCCAAATGAAGAGTAATGTAAACTTATCACTGATAAGGGGGATTGGTTGTAGGAAACTCTGGGTCCCATTTCAAATGAGATAATATAGGAACATTTTACAAAAATATATCAGGCACCTAGTAAGAGCACCTATAGTAATCCTGTTAGTTATTATTGTTCTGTCTGTACCTTCTGGATACATTCTTGCTTTGCTTCTTTATCTCCCCTCACCATGAAACCCTACGATCAATGACCTGACATAGTGTTTGTAAAGTGTTTTGAAATCCCTGAAGTGTTATAATCAACCCAAGTACCATTTTATTTATGTAAACGGTGTCTACCCGGCGAGTCCACTTAAATATCTGGGATTGGGAACCTCTGTCTCATAAGGCTTAATAAATGATTCCCTCTGGCTCTAAAAGCAAGTACTTTTTCAATGACAATGGGAGGGAAAGCAGAGGAATTACTCTGTGACATCTGTTGTGTAACGTTCTTCGGATGGCGCATCTCGATAAATGCATGAGAGTCCTTGGAGAGTTACTGCACACAGTGAAGAGAGAGTGGTAAAAATCCCAGTATCTCTGAAAAGGAAGGGAAGGCAGGTTACAGTCAGAAAAGTCCCACCGTTGCCATCCAAAGAAACCAACAATGATGATTTTAGGCCCGACTTTCTACCTAATGGCAGCTTTCTAGGGTCTCCGATAGTAAGACAAATACTTTTCTGTACTTGCATTGCAGTCTGGAAGTACTTTTCAGTGAAAGCCAGAGGAAGTGAATTGATTCTTTACCTCCAAGTCATCATCAGGGATAGCCCGTTTCCACTTTACATTCCACTTGATGTGTTCATAGGCATTGACTACAACTTCGATTGCTTTGGGACAGGAATGGCAAGCCTGTATCACCTGCAGATGAAGCAGAGTTTCGTTTATTTAATGCACATAGATGACTCAGTCATTCCACTCACAGAGACTTCATGAATGTATTGACCTATTGGGCTCCTTGGAATGCTGAAATGCTTTTGAGAAGTCTCATGACTTTAAGTATCCACACACTGCCAGCCTCCATGGCGGATGGATTAATAAAATCAGACTCATTCCCTTCACCATCCAGAAGTAAGTGAAAAAAGAAGTTCTAACCAAGAAGGTGGGAGCCTGCTGAGATGCATGCCCTGCCCTTACAGCCCTCACACCGCCCAACAGCTTCTGTGACCATCAGAAGACCTGTCGCTCCTTTCTGCCAAGACGGCCCTATCGCTGGAAATCCTTTGGGTGTGGGCTATTTTCATTTCAAAGTGACCCAGCTGGCTCTTCAATGTGACCCACAACTGGGCCACAGGAAACCTGTGTCTCTGTCCTATCAGCAGCAGCATAAGCACCCATGATTCCCAATTTTATCACCTTCATTTCCTTTGCCACCAGGCAAGCAGCTTCTGCCACGGACTTTCTCCTTTACATTTTCTCATCATGAGTTATACATCAATTTCATTTTCCCCTTGAACATATCAAGCTCTTTTCTGAGTTCTCTGAAAGCCTCTCTCACTGGAGGTGAGATGAGGAGGAAGCCCCCAACCCGACCATTGTAAGGAAGGCATGCCTCTGCACCAGCCGTGGGCAAACTACGGCCCGCGGGCCGGATTCGGCCCGTTTGAAATGAATAAAACTAAAAAAAAAAAAAAAGACCGTACCCTTTTATGTAATGATGTTTACTTTGAATTTATATCAGTTCACACAAACACTCCATCCATGCTTTTGTTCCGGCCCTCCGGTCCAGTTTAAGAACCCATTGTGGCCCTCGAGTCAAAAAGTTTGCCCACCCCTGCTCTGCACTGAACTTTCTCCAAAGAAATGTCTCCCTTATTTCCAAGTCCTTCTCAATCTCAACCTATTGTCCTTGGGGAAGAAGTCACAAAACTAGTTTTCCTGACCTCCTTTACCAGTCCTTCATAGGTGCTCTGGTATTGCATTTTTCAATGTGCTAGTAAATACCTAACGTCCTGGGTCCCTGGGCAAAACTGAGACAGAGAGATTGTAATTTTAATACCGGTGTGTGTGTGTGTGTGTGTGTGTGTGTGTGTGTCCAGATCACCTGGTTGGAGGTCAATCTGAATGGAGGGTCCATGTCAGAAAGCAAAAGATAAGAGCAAGTAAGATGGAGTCAATGGACAGTACATCTGGAATGCCAGTCTGAAGAGCTAGGGATTGACTTAACAGGCAATAGGAGGAGGTTATTACATATTCTTGACAAAAAAAGGCTTATATTCAACCAATTCATTGCATTGGGAAGCCTTCTTGAGCACTATGTTAGCTCTATGGCACTATTCTGAAAAGTTCATGACCTGCTTTTTGTCATTAAGGAGCTTGCAACCTACCTGAGGAGAAAAGATATAGGTATTTGAAGTTGGAGACAATATAAGCCAGTAAATAATAAGGGACTATGATGAAGATCATCAAGTGTCCCTTGAGCACGATGAGCAAAGCACCAAATGGCTTCTCAGCTGGTCTCACTGTTAATCATGAGAATGAAGGGTAAGTGAAACTTTGAGAAAGAATCGGGGCTTAATGACTAATCAGATATTGGGAATAAAGAATGCAACTTTGACATTTGAGATCAAGGAATGAGGAAATTGGAAGGTCAGGCTAATTTGGAGATGGGCAGATGAGAAGCAGGAGAATATTTCATATGCAATGTCTTCATGGCAATCAAAAATGTACATGGTAGATGATCCTATATAGGCAAGGTGAAGATGGAGACTCTGTACCATCAGAGAATGTGCTGGCTAAACCTATGATGCTCAATGTTAGGTCGGAGAGAGCCCAGGATCGGATACATGCAGACATGTGATGAGACAATGGACTTCCCCTGGAATTTCTCACAGATCAACGTGCCAGACACAGATACAGGCTTCTTCTCCCTTAATCCACATACCCCCACACAGATACTGACTTCTTTCTGAATACCCCCGCCCACCCCCTGCGGCAGAGAATTCTAGTTGAATGCCCTGATGATCCCTGCGGCAGAAAATTCCTCAGCTCAGGCCCCCCGCCCTCACCAAACTGCAGTATAAAAAAAAGCGCCCCCCTCCCTGTTGGCGTGAATCCACGTGCCCTATCCTTGGGGGTACGTGGGTCTCCCAGGGATGCAGAATAAACTTTCCTTCCTTCCTTTTCTGATCAACTCTCTTTATTTCCTTCGCCGCCTCCTGAGCCACCTAACCTAACACTCAATAATACTATACATGGGTATAAATGGAAAAGATAAAGGACCATGGTATGAGGAATCTGAAGCTAGCAACATGAGGTCACTGAGTGCATGGTTGGGAAGAAATGTGCAGTAACATCATTATATAGTGTTTCCACCATACAGACACAATAGATGCAAATAACATCAACAGTATAGATAATTAGGAGCTAAAGCGTTTTGAATATTTATTACCTTTGTTTTTAGTATACTTTATTTGTTGGCTTATATGATTTAAGTTTGCACAATGGCTGCGTTTAACAATAAGCTTACAAAATTTAACCACCAGCTCTCATGAGCTACTGTGAGCCAATGCCAGGATACAGCTGCTTTTGGTTGTGCCTGTCTTTAAGAAGCACAGTCATAAGCCATTGAAACTAAATGTATATATTAAAGCTCCAAACCAGTGAAGGCATTAGAATTATCCTGTCCAGTGGCTGGGTCCAAATAAGCACTGCCAGAGGCTAAAACCAACAGTAGTTAGCATAAATGCAAAAAGACCCATTGGAAGGCCAATGGACTTTGATATTCAGCAGGGCTGAAGATCAGCATAATATTGCCCTGCTGTGGACTCAGTGGCTGAAGGCAATTCCCTAACCTGACAATCCTTTTAATGTTTACCAAACTTTACCTTTGATATGCCTGTATGCATTCCTAAAGGGCAAATGTGTATTCAAGTGAATAAAAGCTGACAGGTTCAGGGTTTCAGAGAGCTTCTCCACTAGAGAGAGGTTTCCAGCCTGCCCCCCCACCCCCATTCCTTCTAAATCAGTGGTTCTCAACCTTCCTAATGCCGTGACCCTTTAATACAGTTCCTCATGTTGTGGTGACCCCCAATTTCATTGTTACAAATTGAACATAATTAAAGCATAGTGATTAATCACAAAAACAATATGTAATTATATATGTGTTTTCCAATGGTCTTAGGCGACCCCTGTGAAAGGGTCGTTCGACTCCCAAAGGGGTCGCGACCCACAGGTTGAGAACCGCTGTTCTAAATTCATATTTCTTGTCTTGTGTTTTCATTTGTGTGTAGCCCCTTCTCCAGATCCTAAACCCTAGCCGTAAATGGATGCAGCAAAGCACAACAAGTTTAATGAGCGGTTCCATTCACATACATATTCTGGGCACAGAGCACAAATCTAAGCTGCTGAGCATGGCTTTTTCAGCCAGGTCTAAACAAATAAAGAATAATCTGCTATCATCAACCCATAAGGGGGTATGTAGATGGGCTTGAGCCAGAGATCCATTGCTATGGGACTTCTGAAGAGACAGTATTTCTGAGTCTACAGAAAGTATAACTCAAAGGATTTCTATCTGGGTACATGGCTGTCAGGGTAGTCAGGTAATTGTCCAGGACCTTGATCTTGGAAAACTGAGGCAAATAGGCCTGATTTTTTTTTTTTTTCTGTAGCTGAGATGAGGATGGCATATATGTAGCTCCATGCAAAAGAGATATAGAAAACTTAGGCTGACTAATTGCTTTAAACATTAGTTATAAACTACCATCATAGTATCATAGAATGCTAAGGTTGCAAGGAGCCCTCGAGATTATCCAATCCCCCTAATTTAGAGATAAAGAAATTGAAACCCAGAGAGGTCCACATTAAAAAGAAGCATAGTCTTGTGTTTTCTTCATCTGAGCTTAGTGCTCTTTCAAGTACATTCTCATGATCTTATTTTAATCCTTAGGTAATGACTGGTGAAATAAATGGTTTAAGGACACAAATCCCATTGCAGAGACATTTTAAAACAAGAAAGACTCTCTTCCATAATTATTTTAGGTTGGACCCTTGTGACTACAAAGATGTTGCTAGTGATATAAAAATAACATCCGTCCAGACCTCCGTACACATTGTTCTCTAAAGACCTCCAGATGCATTCCTTCTGGAAGGATGAGCCATGGTGAGAAGTATGCTGGTAATTACTTGAGTAACCTAAAAGAAAGATTTAAACTTAAGAGTTACCAGTACAGGGATGATAGCTGAAATTAATCCAAGGCCTGAATCAAGCATATACTTATATTGAAATTATAAAAACAAAAAAAGCATGAAGAAGTCAGAAAGTTTATAATGAGGCTCTGCACATGGCTTAGTTGTCCACTCAGAAAACTGACCTCTATGCTCTGCATCAATTTCCCAGGCCACACTCATTCTTTGTGGAAGCCACACTGGCTGTATTTAAAGACACAGTGCCCACACACCCAACACAGGTACTTTGTCCCTAGGAATTCCTCACCTCTCCCTTCTTGCCAACACTGGGGACACAGAACAGATGTGGATGAAAGTTACTTTCCCCTTACAACATATTACCTACTTCTCAACTAGGGTTTCCAGATTTAGCACATAAAAATAGCAAAGGTTGTCCAATTAAATTTGAATTTCAGATAGACAACAAATAATTTTTAGTATACATATATCCCAAATGTTGCATGGTCCACATTTATATTAAAAATTACTTATACTTTATCTGAAATTCAGATTTAACTGAACATCCTGTTTTTTATCTGGCAACCCTATTCCCAGCCCCTATTCAGAAAATGTTCAGACTAAGTTATGGATACAGGAACGGACTTCATTCACAGGTCAGGAGCCTCACTTCACACATTTGGTGCTTCAATTTGCACCTGGCCTACTCCCATATATCACAGGGAGATAACTTCTCACTTTTCATTAAAGTAGAAAAAAATAAATCAAATAGTTCTTAACCTTCAGTCTTTAGATGCACAGACTCCAAAGCTCCCACTGCTGTCATTAGGTTTTGCTGACACGGATGGCTAAGTTTTCTGCTGACAGAAGACAGGGCCCACAGTGGGAAAGGCTCCTCTAGCCTGACAACCCTCCAGCTGTCTTCACTGGCAGGTCGGGCTTCTTCCAGGTCTAAGACAGCTAGGCACACCTTCTTCAGGCCTCGGTGATTATTTCACAAAGCAATAACAACAGCACAAAACACCCTTAAGGGACAGCAAACTCTAAATCATCACTAGATGCTGGCTCCTGGGAACCTTGACCATCACAAGGACTGGTCTGGCCCTAGAAGCGAGAAGCTTCTGCTGCCTTTTTCCTGTCTGAGAAACAGAAGGTCCCCCCATGAACTTCACCTTCTGTGTGTCTCTCGTCCTCCTTCTTGGAAGAACAATTGGTCAAAAAAGCTCTTTCTTCAGTGGTGGCAACTGGAGAAACTTTTAGATACTTTTTGCCTCATCATTCCACACCTAAAAGCATAGATTATAGAATAGATTCAAGATAAATCTCTTTGTTTCCCTTCCAAGGCAAGTGGGCACCTCTTAAGCCACTTCAGCAGAAAAATTCTAAAGCTACTTCTACCTTTTTATGTTAATATAGTTGTGTGCAGAAAGGTACTTAATAATCAAAGCGACGTCTTGTACCCTGGGCGTCGTACACAGCACTGTTCAACAGCAGAAATCACCCTCACCTCCCCCAAACCCTCACATACCTTTCCCTCCCCTAGAAAAATGTCTTTCTTGCCCTACCAGAAAACCCAGTCTTGGCTCCCTGGGGTGTCACTGCTTTCTGAATTATGCTGAGAGAAAAAAATCAAATGTCCTTTTGTACCCTGGAAAGCAATTGCAGACCATATAATTCTTTCCCCCACCTTATGTAATTTATACATAGGCTTTCGGTGAAATACACCCTCTGCAAATGTGCTTTGTATTTGGAAGACAGCATCTTCAGCTCTGACCTTGTTCCTTGTAAATAAGGAAACAGAATTCCCCCTCCACAGGAGAACAAATCACTTTATCTTCTGTATAAATGAGTCAGTCATTTACTTGTTGTAAAGATGACTTTCTCTTTGGAAAGTTGGGCTGGGTTGTAGTTGTTCTAAATCACTGAAGAATCTGCATAGCAAATTGAATAGTTTTTCTTCAGTTTTCCTTTGGAAGGGGGCCAGTTCTCTTATACTGTTGGGTAGGGACAAAATGTTTATAATACCAGTCATCCACCAGTGTCAACTCTATCCTAAATCACTTTAGTGTATGGCCAACCTAGAAGAACTCAGAGGAGCAAAACAGAACTGAATAAGAACATGCTCATGGTGGATAAAGTGTTCCTTGGCACACATAATTGTGTGCCTGTTTTACAGGCTAGTGGAGCCATCAAGACTAAAGGAAAGACTCTTTCACTGGACCAAGTGTTCACTTTGGGAAGAGGAGGAAAGGAAACGATTTTGTTGACTCACACACTCCTTAGACAATCCTGAAAAGTTGATATTTTTACCTTCATTTTTCAGATGAGAACATTGGAATCTAAGAGATTGAGGCGCTTGTTCAGAAACCATACAGCAAGTAAATGGCCATGCCAAAACTCCTGCCCCTGGTGACTAAGCTGCTGCCCCTAATCCTTCTCGTTGGTCCCTCTCAGAGGACTGCTTTTGTGAAGAGGGTCTGGGGCCTTCCTCACATTCACAAGACTTCTTTCTGGAGGACAGAAACTCTGCTGAAAGGCTCATTCTCCCTCACCTGGCTCTTGAAGGAGAATGAGGAGAGGGTCTTTCAGTTTCTCGGAGACCTGTTTCATCCACAATTAACCAGCAGTGAGTTTCAGAATAAAGCTCAGCTTTTAGTCTCTAGACAGTCTCATATTTTGTCTCTCCTGGTTGGAAAGGCCCCTGTGAGTAAACCAAACCCAGAAGCACTGATTCCACTACTCAGTGGACATGTAGTAATAACAATACTTATAGCCGTCATTTGTTCACTGCATCTGGCTTCCGATACCATAGTCACGATGAAGACTCCCAAGTTTGTACCTCTGGCCAGGACCTTTCCATGAACAACAGATTCCTACATCAAACTGCCTACCTGACATCTCCACCTAGACGAATAGTAGGTATCTCAAGCAAAATAGAACCCCTGATCCTCTCTTCAAATTCAGCTCCACCTGCCTTGCTTCTATCTCAGGAAATGGCCCCTTGATTCTTTCTATTCCTTGGGCAAAATCCTTGAAGTTATCCTTGACTCCTCTCTATTCCTGATGGCCCACAAATAATCAACCAGCAAAACTCATTGACTCCCTCTTCAAAACATGCCCTGAATCTGGCCATTTCTTAGCACATTCACCATTTCCACTGTGGGTCTAAGCCATCCACATCGCTTACCTAGATTATTGCAATACCGTTGACCCCCCCCCCCCTCCACTACGGTTATTCTCCAACAGGCTGTCAAATGGGTCCTTATGGAATATAAGTCAGACTATGCTTCCCAGCTCAAAATTCTTCAGTGATTTCCTCCCTCCTTCAGAGTGAAAAACCAAGGGCATAACCATGGCCTACAAGGCCATAAAAATGGTCTGTAAACTACCCTCATGTACACCTCTCTGACTTCTCTTCCTCCTTACTCACTCCACTCCAGCCACTCTGGCTTCCTGCTTGTCCTCACACACGCTTAGCTTTCTCCTACCTCAGGATCTTTGCATCTGCTTTTCCTTATACCTCAGATGGCCTTCCCCCAGTTCAGGCAGCCACATGACTTGCTCCTCCATGTCCTTATTTTCTCTAATCACCTTTGTAAAACAGCATCTGTGTAGATACACAGGTGGAGATGTCAGGTCATTCTTTTATTTTCTTTACCTGGCTTTATTTTTCTCCGTAGCACCGAACAGATCAGAGTATATTTATTTGTTTGTTATTTTGTTTTGTTTTTTTTCCTATCTCCCATTAGAGAGGATATTCCATGAAGGCCTTTTTTTTTTTGTTATTGCTGTTGTTTATTGCTTTATCTCCAGCTCCTAGAACAATGCCTGGCACATAGTAAGTACTCAGTGAATATTTCTTAAAATAAAATGAATAAACTTGACCACTTACTCTCTGTGACTTTAGGAAAATATCTCAATGCTATTACCTTTTAAATGAACGTAATGCTCAACAAAGGACATTACCATAACATTATTTTTACTTTTTTATTCTTTTTCATCATAATCATTTGAAATTTTCTCTAAAAACTCATTAAGTGCCAGAACATTGTCTTGCATATAATTCTAAAGGGAAAATGACTTAATTGTCCATTGAAATACTGACAAGAAACAAATTCCTTAGGAGATCACAAAATTTACTGACATCATATCTACAGCTGAACATTCCCTGGGTTGTCCATCTGGAATGTGCCCTGCCTGGGTACACTCCCCTTAAATTCTTTAGTGGAACTTTTCTTCCCATGAAGCCTCACAGTGCAGGACTTCAGATCAGTCTCTGATACTTTAGCAATGGAGGAAGTAGAACTTGGTTGTGAACTTAGTAAAACTGTCAACTGGCTTTCTGTGGTCCTACATTATTTAGTTGATTTATACCTGAAACTCCGCTGCCTCTTGTTAACTTTTTTTTTTTTTTAGAATGAGTGAGATCCTAGGTATGGTGTTATTTGATTGATTTTAAAGTGAAGTGCGTTTTGGTTTCCCAGTTAATTACTGTCAGCAACCTCATTCCTCTACGATCATTTACCACGGCATATTAAAATTGTCTCTTTATATGTTTGTCTCTCCCACTGGATCCTAAGCTACCTGAAAGTAGGTGCTATGTCTTAGTCATATCAGCATTGTTAACATCTGGCCCCTGCTAGCCCATTGGAGATTATCAATAGATATTTTTTAATACAAACGCTATGCAGTGTGATATTGCAAGAACAGACGCCAGACCAAATGATGTAAGGTTGAACCCTGGCACTGCCACTGTGTGAGATCAGGCAAATGGCTTCCCTGCTCTGTGCCTCCTCTGTGTTTCCTCCTTTATAGAGTAAGGACAATATTATTGTTTCTCTCATACGGTTGTGATAAGAATTAAATTTAAAAATGCAAACTGCTTATAACAGTGTGCTTAAGAAATAGAATTCACTCTATATAATAAATATAATTATTAGTGCTCAGTAAACATTAGCGTTCACTAAATGCAAAATTGAGTGGCCCTTTCACGCCACTTAATTCCAAAGCAGTTTCAGTCATCTTTAGATCAGACATCCTGCGCAAGAGAGCGAGTGTACGCCTGTCTGGCCCCATTCACCTCTCCTGCAGACTTAAAGTGGCTTCTGATCTTTCTCAATTCAGTCCCTCAGGAAGCTACTGCCAGTTCACTGGTGTTCACCAAGACATGGAAGATTATCTGCCCCTCTTCTGCTCATTGCCTGCTCTCATTACATGTGCAAACAGAAGGTCAGGTAGAGGATCAGAAGCAGTTAACCCAAAGATGCCAGCCTCGAGCTTGAGTCGCTTGGGGGAGGGGACACAGCCTCACCTTATGGAACTGTGGAGGGTATATTCGAGCAGCCCCATGGTTCAGTAGTAGCTGGTAGCAGATCTCAGGCTGGGCGGCAGGCCGCACAGAGGTGACCTTCAGCACGTACTGGATGGCCGCACAGCCATTGATGTCCATGAGGTTGGCCTCAGCGCCCGCTTCCAGCATCATGTGCATGAGCACGTGGTCACAGTTCCAGGCTGCCTTGTGGAGCGGAGATTTGAAGTCATCATCCCTGGCGTTGACCTCGGCATGGTAGTCGAGCAGCATGCGGCAGACGAGGTGATGCTCCCCGCTGTACTCCTGCTCTTTAAAGCGGAGGGCCCAGTAGGTGGCGACAGCCAGGGGCGTCTCCATGTGGGCGTTCACACTGTCCACTACGGCCCCATGCTCCACGTAGAAGGCCACCAGCTCCGAGAGGCCGAAGTGGGCTGCTGTGTGCAAGGGGGTCTCTTCATCCTGGTTGTTGGTCTTCATGTTCACGTTCGCCCCTAGGAAGGGAGATTGAGGAAGCCGATTATTTAAACTGATGTTGACATTATACCCACGGTTCATTAAACAGGACTTTACTGCTGCTTCCCTTTTAACCTCTGACTGCCATGCATTATGCCGTGTGCCCCCATTCTCTTTCTGGGCCCCATGGAAGCCACTCCTCTGACACAACAGTGCCATCTGGTGGACAAGCTGCAAATGCACTAGGGTGGGGCGTAGGGGTGGAGTAGGGGAGTGGAGAACAAAGGATTTCAGGCTGTTTGTTCAGTGTTAGTTCTTACAAAGTAGTCCCCATAACTAATCGCTTTTTATCAGTAAAATAGCAAACATCATTGAAAGTTTACACCGCAATCTTTGAAACTCATACAAGTAGTTTTAAAAATCATCAGTTTCTTTGAATGTTTCACAAAATCATGTTTTTCTTCTTTCAAAGCAGAAAAGCCTGAAAGTTTGGTCCAGGCAAACTTTATTTATTTACTTATTTACTTTTTTAAGTGTGGTAAGGCTGCCTAACTTTATATATCTAATCAATATATTATTGATTTTTTACAGACAGGAAGGGAGAGGGATAGAGAGTTAGAAACATTGATCAGCTTCCTCCTGCACATCTCCTACTGGGGATGTGCCCGCAACCAAGGTACATGCCCTTGACCAGAATCAAACCTGGGACCTTTCCGTCTGCAGGCCGAGGCTCTATCCACTGAGCCAAACTGGTTAGGGCAAGGCAAACTTTAATGGCGTGTTTGACAGACAGTACTAGAGCCGCCCAAGGCTGTGAGGCTCTCTTGGAACACAGTGGGGGGAAAACAACAACCACAAATACTTTGACCTCCAAACTAGCCTTAAGGTCATGTTTTACATTGAAAGGGGTGGAAGCCAGTAGTATAATGGAAATACCCACTGAAAGGAAGGCAAGCCCAGTGGTGAGGCTTGGTGGTTGAGCATCAACCTAAGAACCGGTAGATTCCCAGTCAGGTCACATGCCTGGGTTTCTGGCTTGGTCCCCTGTTGGGGGCATGCAGGAAGCAGCTGACTGATGTTTCTTATGGATGTTTCTATACCACTCCCTTCCTCTCTCTTAAAATCAATAAAATATTTTTTAAAAAAGAAAGACAATGATTTAGCAACTGTGACGTATTTGCTTTATGGGAAACAATGGCTGTTAGAAATAAATTTTTAGTACTTGCAAAGTTCCTTAGGAATTATTTAATCCAACCGTATGTAACAGGCCAGGAAACTGATGTGAGTTTTATTTTTCTGATAGGAAATATTAAGTACTAGAATGGTCAACTTGAGAAGCTGAAGTCTTCCTTCTCTGCCTAATTTAAGGTGGTGAACCAAATGACCCTTGGGGGCCTACTATATTACTGATTCTACTGGAAATTTATATGGCTACTTCAAGTATAAATCTTGATATAGTTATTATTATTATGCCAGCAACAAATATTTATTAAGCACTTAACATGGACAATATTCTGAGCTAAAAGCTTTTCATATATCGCCTCATCAAATCCTAATATTTCTTTGCAGTAGGTACAATTTTTACCCTAATTTTACAGCTAAAGAAATTTGTTAGGCTAATAACCACACCAAGCTAAGAAGTAAAGAGGTTGGAAAACGGACAGCCTGACTTCAAAATCTCTTACCACTGTTCTGTTCTTTCCACTTCGTTATTTTTCTAGAAATATTTCTGTACTTTACTCTTGATATTGAAAACTTGAAAGTGGTACAGAAATCATGTTGCATTTTGTTAATTTAAAAAATCTGTTCTCCAAATATTGCTCCTCTATGCCCTTTTCTATGGCATTCTCTGCTCATATAGAACATATTTGAGAAAAGCAATACTCCTACAAGTGTGTTCAGTATTCTATACAAAATCAACCCCCCCGTGAGGTGTCTGAGGGCACATGGCTCCGTAAACTCTGAGACTGTCAGCAGCCCAACTTGCAGAAAGCAGAATTATAACCAAAGATTGTCATGCACGGAGCCAGCTGTGTTCATCAGTATTCTGCCCCAGAGAAGTCCTGGGTCAGGCCTCCTTTTAGGTCAGCCCTTCTTTTCTCTGGAGTGCGAAGCAATGAATAAGAATGTCTTCCCAGAAGCCTTATTCCGGGTCACTGGAGAGTTTCCAGTAAGGAAGGGAATCAAAGGGTCAGGATGAAAATTTTACGGGCCAAATCGGAACAAACCACATTCTTTATTTTTAAATGTACTTGGACATTTATAATTGATCCTTGACCTCTTGGTACAACTCGACAGGCTGCGCAGTTTCCCTTTCTGAATAGAGGATCCTTATTTTTATAGTATTTGAATTGTGTCTTTGAGTGCTTTATATTTCCAGGGAATATGTAAAGTGGGATGATTTGACTACTTTTTAATTCTAGATTTTTGGGAAATTTAAAAAACATATTGTTAATGCAGAAATACAATGTATTCGTGTCCTAGAACTGTTGTAAAAAGTACCACACACTAGGTAGCTTATTTCATGGTTCTGGAGACTAGAAGTTCGAAATTAAGTTGTGGGCAGGGCTGGTCCTTTCTGGCTCCTTCTGGGGGCTTTAAGGGAGAATCTGTCTCATGCCTTCTCCTAGCTTGTGGTGACGGCAGGCAATCCTTGGTGTTCGTTGGCTTGTAGGTGTCGCTCCAAGGTCTGCCTCCATCTTCACATGGTGTTCTGTGTCTCTGTGTCTTCACAGGTCTGTCTTCTTATAAGGACACAAGTCATATGGCAATAGGGGCCCATCTTGCTCCCATTTATCTTAACTAGTTACATCTGCAACAACCCTATCTTCACATACTGAAGTATTAGGGATTAGGACTTCAATATACCTTCTTTTTGAGGGGGAGAGAGTACACAATTCAACCCATAACATATAACATGCATTACATAATATATAAAAATACATATGTGCAGTTTAAAAATATTGTAAATAAAGCCATCTCCCGTGTAATCATATCCCAGGTCAAGAAATCAAACAGAAGAAGAAGAAGAAGAAGAAGAAGAAGAAGAAGAAGAAGAAGAAGAAGAAGAAGAAGAAGAAGGAGGAGGAGGAGGAGGAGGAGGAGGAGGAGGAGGAGGAGGAGGAGGAGGAGGAGGAGGAGGAGGAGGAGGAGGAGGAAGAAGAAGGGAGAGGAGGAGGAGGAAGAAGAGGAGGAGGAGGAGCAGAAATCAAACACTTTCAGGCCCAGAGAATCCCTTTCCTATCTATATTTCTCTATTCAACTCCTCCATCTTGCCAGAGATAATTATTATCCTGACTCTTATGATAATCATTTCTTTGTAATTCTTTATAGTTTACCACCTTTGTTTATATTTCTAAATAAAATAGTTTGATTTCACTCATTTTTTAACTTTATCTAAATGGATTAATAAGCACATTCTTTTATGACTTGCTTCTTTCACTCAACATTATATTTGTGAAAATAATTTGTATTGTAATCTCATTTGTTCATTTTATTGTGTTCTACTTCATAGCACGAGTAACCCACAATTCACCCATCCTACTGGTGCTGGGCATTTCCAATTTCAGGTTATTCCAAACACTGCTGCCAGAGCATTCTTGTAGATTCTCAAACCCCGGGACTTTTGGCAATGTTTCTCTGAGTTCTAAACCTATGAGAGGAATTGCTGGGGCATTGGACAGCATATTGCCAGTGTCCTTAGAGGGTATAAAAAAGGTGTTGTACCAGTTTCCACTCCATAAGCCATGAGTGAGGGTTCTTATTGTACCATATTCTTGTCAGCATTTGGTATTTTCAGTCTATTTAATTTTAATCAATCTGGTGGGTGTGTAGTGACATCTCATTGTGTATGACTGTTTGTTTTCCTAGTTAACAATTCAGTTAGCCATATTTTACCTTACTATTGGGTATAAAACTTTTTTTCCTAAAAAGTTTTGATCTTATGACTAATGCTACAATTAATAAATTCATAAGTAAATTTCAGGATTATTTCCTTGGCATAAATCCCCCCCCAAAAAATAGAGTCATTAAGATGAACCATGATGCCCTAACCGTTTTGGCTCAGTGGATAGAGCGTCGGCCTGCGGACTCAAGGGTCCCAGGTTGCGGGCACATCACCAGTAGGGGGCGTGCAGGAGGCAGCTGATCAATGTTTCTCTCTCATCGATGTTTCTAACTCTCTATCCCTCTTCCTTCCTCTCTGTAAAAAAATCAATAAAATATATTTTTAAAAAAGATGGACCATGAACTATTGTAAGGGGCTTAATGAATAATTGCCAAATGTTATACTCATATCTCTTTCATTGATGTAGAAGAGTGCTGTTTCACTCGCCAGTGTGTGGTTATAGATTTTTTAAAATGTTTTGTTAGTTTAGAAGTAAAAAAAAAAAAAAAGGTCTGTTTTTTAAAAATGTGAATTCATTTAACTATTAGATTTTAAACATTTTTCTGTAATTATTAACAAGTGGTATTTCTTCTTTGGTTAAATGTCCAAATTTTTGTCCTTTTATACATTGAAGCTTTTCTGTTTTGTTTACATATATATGCGTCCTTCATTAAATTAAGATGTAATCCTGGGTTTTCATAATTGTTATAAAATTTTAAACCAGTTTACTTGGACTTTCTTAAATACAATGATGCTAAAGAAGGAGAGAGAGAGAGAGAAACATCGATGTGAGAGCTTAGCATCAATGTGAGAGCTTAACATAGATCAGCTGCCACCTGCAGGGATCGAGCCTGGAATCCAATCATGTGCCCTGATCAGGAATCAAACCAGCAACCCTTTGGTGCATGGAACAATATCCAACCAACTGACCCACACTGGCCAGGGCCAAACAAGTTTTTGTGTGTATTTTTTTTTTAATAGTATATTGTCCTACTCCTCTCAGAGGTTGCAAAACTATCCAGATTAATTAAAATTTAGTTTTATCATAGATTTTTTTAAATGTTTAATATTGGACTCATCTGGAACTTATTTTGGTGTGAACATCAATTTAGGAAGAATTGACAGTCTTACAATATAAAGTCTTTCCAGCCA